TGTATTATTAACAAGCTCAGTACTTGTATTTGAACAGGTTTCTTGATCATCAATACTCTTAATTGTATTTGAATATTCTACGGCTACTGTATTATTAACAAGCCCATTATTTGAAATTGTTTCTTGATCATCATTAAAATGGATAGTTTTTGAATGCAGCAATGCATAAAAGGATTTATTTTTTGAAATAAAACCTAAATTATATGTAAATATTAAATAATTGGTAATTCATTTTTATTCTTACTAATAATGATAATGTACGTATTAAAAATACTTACCACATGCAATATATGATAATTCAGCTTTATCATTAGTTGAAATAGCCGTCAAACAATTGAGAGAACTTTGATGATATTTAATTGCTACTGCTGCTTGATGTTTGCAGGGAGCTCCTGAAGAACCTTTTAAACATGTACATGTTCCAATATTCGAGTCAATAATATAAAAAGTATTAGGTTTAGTTGCACTTGCAACTTTATAAATTCTTTCAAACCCAATCTTATTTATTAAATCAAAATTAATTTTGTCCCATCCGGGACATAAAAATCTTTTTGCAATAATTAGATTTGGACATTGATGTGCAATTCCTAATAGTCTTCGTTCATAAAAACGTTCCATTTTATCTATAATGAAATGAAATATTTGAATGATATTATATGCTTGGGTACGATTAAATATAATATCTTTAAGCAGTCCGAAACTCCTCTCTACATAATTATTTGTATGATTATTTCGTATTAATAAATTATTCCGAAAAGAAAGTGCCCAGAATTTTTGTCTTTCCCAAATAAGATTAAAATGTCTTGCAAGTTTTTTATATTTAGGAAAATATTGCTGAGTAAATAAAGTATACTCTCTTTCCATTTCTTCTTTTGAAGAAGTATATAATATTTTTTTCATTTGTTACATAATTGGAATTCGATCTTCTTTATTAATTGAATGATTTGAATCCCATAACCATCGCCAAAATGCTTGAAGTATGTGAAATATACATAAAAGCTGATTTGTTCCTGGCCAACATAGTTGTAATGCATTA